GGCGGTCCCGCAATCCTACCTCTCCCTTCCAGAGCCAAGGATCTGAAGACCCGCTTAGGGATCCTGCTACATAAACCAGAGCCGGGACACAGGATCGGGACCTCCAGCAAGTTGCAGCTGGGCTCCAGGTGGAGGTAAGCCAAGCAGTGCTGTGTCCCAGGCTCAGCCCGGGACGGGTCCCAGGGGACCAGGCTAGCGTGGGGGATGCTCCTGTCCGTCTGTGCAGCAAAGAGGACAGAATGCAGCTTGCCCTCCCCACGGTCCCACCCCGGCAGGCAGGGAAGGCGGATCACTTCCCAGCTCCACCAGTTATAAAATCAGACGGGGGAACTGATGTTCTGGCATTAGGCACAAGAGAGCAGGTCCTTAGCCACAGGCAAGAAACCCAGAGGGCTCCCGCAGTTTCTGGTGTCTCAGACCAGTGCCTGGGACTCCTGGGGAATGCAGGCAGCATTAAAAACAAAATACCAAATATTGTTGCTGAAGGCAGGGTGTCTTCTTGCAGAGGAGGCTCTGCCAGGCTTGCATCAGCAGAAAAGGGCTCTTCTGAGTATCCTCTAGAGAAGCTACCTGGCCAAAGCTGCAGGATGGAGCTGAGGTCTGGTGAGCCGTCGGGGAAGGTGAAAGAAAGGGAGAAAGGAAAGAGAGCCCACAGGTAATGGATACTGGGGTCCCGCTTTGGTTTCCTGCCCAGTGCCGCTGCCTCCCTTCTTGTCCCGTCTCCCATTAATGGGGCTGCTTGACTGAATCGCTGCCGTCCTTCGCCGCGGGGCAGGAGAAGTGTTGTCAGTGGGACAGCAGGTCTTACATCCTTTTGTCTTTTCCAGAGACTCCTCACGAGAGGTGCTTGAATGGAGGGAGTCCTTCGACCAGCTCTTGAAGAGTAAAAGTGAGTAGGACCTTGTTTTCTTCTCTTGGTGAGAGCGCGTAGGACAAGCGAGGGGGTGACTGTACGCCTGCAGCCAGTGCAGAAAGAAATCTTGTCTCCTCCTCAAATGAGACGCTTTAGGATTTAGAAAGAGGCCCCTTTCCTGCCCTGACAGCTGATGCACAGGGCTTATTGCCTGGCTTGTGAAGCTGTAACCTTTTCTTCTGGCTGGGTGCTTTTTGGGGGGCACAAGTGCGGTCTTGCCACACCTCGCTGCTGCCTCGGGTCCCGAGCATCGTTGTGGGCATCCCGTGTGCAGCAGTCGGTTAGCGGGAACATCACGCTGCGCCCTGACCGTCTTTTTCTCGGGAGAAGGCAGCGTGTCTGCTCTTGGTGTCCTCCTTTGCACAGCAACGCAGCCACCTCCCCGCAGGCTTTTGCTGCCCAGAAAACTGCATTGCTGCCTTCTGTCTGTCCTGTGCCTCTGGGGATGGGTCTTCCACAGGGAGAAGGAATTCAGCTGCTTTACTGAGTTACACGTGGCCGTTTTCCCCCCCAATATTTGCTATACCCGTGGTGATGCACAGGGCTCCCGTAAGGTGCCGTCTCCCTCTCCCCCATGCAGACAGTACCTCCAGACCCAGAGAGGGGACCTCTTTTAGAGTCCTACACATAATCCCTTCCTTACACTGGGCTTTACAGCGGGTACACAATGGTAGAAGTGCCAGATTTTAATACAAAAGTAATTTTCTACCTTAAAAGTTATTCCACAGCAAGAGAAAGTCCTTCCATAGTGCCAGTTTGGGGCTAAGCATATTTTTTTTTTCCAGCCTTCCTGACGTGCTGTGATGGCTAATAAGCATCTCCAGCTTTGTAACTTAATACATCCCCCCAAACTGGCTCTGAAATCCTTGCTGCAATTACTCTCCCATACTCCTCAGCATCTCGTTCCCCCTAGATTTCAGCTGAGAAATAAAAATAAAGCCATCGCTGTTCGGTTCCTGCAGGCGTACCCATACTTCGGTGGATTTCTCCTTAGGTAGAATTAGCTCTTTTCCGAAGCTGTAAAGAAAATACTCTGAAGCCTCATTACAGAAAGGTCAGATAAATAAAACAAGAGGATTACTTGTCTGTGGGAAAGGATTTTATTGGAGTCTAGAGGCCAATTAGTAGTGTCTCAGTGGATGGAATTTGCCTGGAGGGAAAGGAAATCTGCAGATGTCATGGTCTGAGCTCCCAGGGCAATGCTCGCAGGCAGCGCCGCGTCTGGCAGCCATCTTCCTCTTCCTCCCCCTCCTCTGCCTGTTAACTGCTCTTCTCTCCCCTCCCCAGGTGGGGTGACAGCCTTTCACACCTTCCTGAAGACAGAGTTCAGCGAGGAAAACCTCGACTTCTGGCTGGCCTGCGAGGACTTCAAAAAGACCCGGTCAAAAACTAAACTGGCCTCCAAGGCCAACAGGATCTTCGAGGAGTTTGTCCAAAGTGAGGCGCCCAGGGAGGTGAGAGCATTTTTTGCCTCTGTTCTGTGGCATCAAATAAAGTAGGAAAAGAATAAAATACCCCAGTGGGTTTTATGAAAGTGGGAAAATGTGCTCTTGTTCATGAGAGCTTTCATTTCAACCTTGCGTGGTCCGCCAACGTGAGGGGATATAAAGGCTTGCGAGCATCTTCACCCTCATTTGAAGATGGAGAAAAGAGTTCTCCTCCCCCCAGGAGGGGAGTTAATGCCGAGTTAATGTTTGTGGGTGCTTCTTCCTTGCAGGTGAATATTGACCACGAAACCAGGGAGATCACCCGGAAGAACCTCTCAGGTGCCACCTCCGCTTGCTTCAACGAAGCCCAAGCCAAGACTCGCACCTTGATGGAGAAGGACTCCTACCCCCGGTTCCTGAAGTCCGCCTCCTACCAGGACATGACCAAACAGGCCACCAGCCGCGGCGTCAGCAAGCGGTCGCATACCTGACCCGAGCCCGAATCCGCTGCGGGGGGACGAGCTGGGGGACCGGGCAGAGGCTGAGAGACAGTTTGCGAGGGCTGAGGACTGCGCGGCACGGTTTTGGCTGAAGTCCTGGCATTTTAGGAGGATCCCCAGGACCTCAAGCACCTCAGCTTCTCAACGAGCTGCTGGGAAGAGAGGTCCTCTCTCCCCGGAGGAGCGGAGCGTGTGGGAACCGCTCGCACGCCGGCGTGTGCCCGATGCCTCCCCTTGCGGCACGGCCAGAGACCTGCACCACCGCAGGGGCAGAAAGAAATCGGATTTGAGTTGCAAGCCGGGGAGAAGGAGACCGGATTCCCCGGAGCATCCATAACGGGAGAGCTCCCACCTGCTCCCAGGGC